AGGAATAAACACCTAAACCTAAAACACTTTGGTTTGTATTTTGTTCAGGCAGCTTCTCTGCCATTTCCCTCGCAAGGGTAGTCTGTCTGGTCATCTTTTCCAGTGTTATTTCAGACTTAACTTTAAGCAAGTCTACTGAATGTGCAATACCTTCTCAATATCTTACTGGGGCTCAAAGGTAAAATGGCTTAACATTTATCAACCATACACCTTACTGCTTAAACAAGCAGAAAGCACAGCAATTTTATTCTCATGTTTTACATATGTAAGTGCTGTTCCTATATTTAATTCTCTACCAACCTAAAACTCAGTTTTTAAACAGCTCTGCAATTTATGGCTAATTTACCTACAAACTGAAGAACAGAGCTGTCAACAAGTTGTTGTTCAGAATTGTCCATCTCTGCTTATACCTGCCAGGTCCACACAGTGACTTATTTATACGCTCCCACCCTTCCCCCACCAGTCTCTACTTGGGCATTTACTAGCTTGCAGTCTTTGGCACAGCTGATGGTCTGCATATGTCATTATCACAATTAAAAAGTGTTTGTCCAACTTTGTTTTAAAAACATGTGAAAACATTTTATTCCATGTACAATAATGTACACAAGTTTAAGGTGGTCACGAAAGAGACCAGCAGTAATTAGAGGTATATTTACAGTAGCACACCACAGTAAACAACCACCATTCACAGACTCAGTATTTTGAGATACTGTTGTTGTGCTTAAGTACACAAGGATAAATGATAATTGTATTCCGTTGAACTGAATTTTAAACAAACTGCCTGACACTGGATTTTTAAGTGACATTTTAATCACCGAGTGAATCAGAGTCAACATTTAGAGTTTCATTCAGGTGTTGTGTCAAGCATTCATTGTCTTCCTCCTCCTCTTCCTCCTCCTCCTCCTCACTTCCAGTACTGTCATTGTCTTCATTTAGTTCATTTTCAGCATCAGCAGCTTCTTCAGCAACTTGTATGGGATTTTCATTAGGTGCAACAAACCCATTGTTATTAGAGATATTTGCATTTTCTTTGTCTTCAATATATACTTTTTGATGGCACATTGGGCAAGTGTCTTGAATGTACAGCCATTTCCGAAGACAGAGCGCATGAAAATAATGATTGCAGGGAGTAATACGAGCAGATGTAGTAAACTCATGGTAGCAGATTGCACATACATCATCAATTTCATGTAATCGACTTCCTTTTACTTCAGGAAGGGAGTTAATTTTTTTAACAGCAGTCCTACGATTTATGAAAGTCTTCCAGCCATTCTTTGCTTGCAAATATATGTTGAAATATGCATGTAAACACATCATACAAGCCCGAATCTTACTTCCCGATTCAAATACCATGGTATAAGCTCCATTTCCAAACATGATCACTCCAAATATAAACTCAATAATACTGCCCGTTGAACGGACATAGTAGACATAATCATCAAGCTTTTCCCACAGCACATTATAATAGCCATCAATCATGAACAGAACATAAACAGTGATAGAAACAATTACTTTTAAGCAGAGTTCCACACAAAATGCTGTAACTGCAAAAAGCCATGTATTTAGTGCATAGTGGTGCCAAAGGACATAACTGAGTAGAACTGGAAGGATAAAAAGGCAAGCTGAAACAAACAGTACTGGGAAGTGTCTGCGAAATGACGACACGTGGGAGGCACTGAGAGACATTAACACAGGGTCTGTCATTCCATGGATAAAATGCAGGACTGCGGTTAACAAAAGGCACATGTTTCGACTTAGGCGAACTAGTCTCTCTTCTGGCTTTAGCCCGCTTAAACCAGTCTGCAGAGCCAAAATAAAAAACAAAACTGGTGCTACAAAACCAAGCTTCTTGTCATCTTCATCAGTTGATCCAATGAAAGCCAAAATACCAAGTCCCAAATAATGGGCGATTGAAGAAATTACAGCACTCATGCCTAAGACAGTTAAAGTAGAATCACACCCACTTATAATAAGACTGCAAATTAATTCCCAACAATTTTCCCAAGATATCAGGTAGAATTTCTCTTCTGTATCAGTTTCTGCCATCCTGACAACATACGCTAATATGACAGCTTGTGCTGTGAGTCTTGTTAGCCAGAAGACACGCAATACTGCTGGAAAACGGATCCTTTTCCATGTGTCTTCCATCAATAGCTGTAATCCATAAATGCGATACATGTGCCTTACAAGGAGATAAACATATCGCGCAGAATAATAGAACCATTTAATTTTCATAGCTAAAATGACTGTGGTATATAATGTCAGAATCAGGCCTGAAGTGAAAACTAAAATTTGTCTGACATGAAAAGGTAATTCAATAATCAATCCTATTATAGGGATCAATATATCCAGTATGATTAGTTGAGAATATATGGACTGCACATTTAACAATGTAACATATCCAATTCCAAAGGTAAGCTGAAGGACAGAAAGTGCCATCCATAGCGAGGGTCCCTTATGAGGAAAGAAGTGAATTCCAGAAGCTGCTGTATAGTAGGCACTGTAGAAGTTTATGTGCAAAGAAGCATGATAATTCACCAATACTGAAGTTGCAGCAAGCAGAAAAGCTGAGGTGATCATATAAAACTTGAAAAGTGCTCGCTGCTGCAAGACCAGAACCACACTGGATACAAAGACACCTAAAAAAACAGATGGAAATCATTTAGCATGCAGTAGAAACTGGACATGTTTTTATCTCATTAGTTTTGAGCTACACAGTTATTCAACTCTTCCTTTTCACTTCAGTCACTTGCATTCATTTTACACAGTCCCATAAAACTGGCAAATAAAACTATTTTCTAAACCTCCATTTATTTATTTATTTTTGCATGAGGTACCACCACTGCAGAAGAGGGCTACTTTAATTTGCTTTTGCTGTAGTCTTGAACTTACCAAACACCTACAAAGCAAAAATACTACAAGCATAAGTTACCACTACTATCAACATTATTTGCAGCTTGTGTGGAGACGTGTGTGTTTTCCTCATTATTCACGAAGGTGGCTTCAGACAGCGTTGAGAGACAGAGCATATGAATTCTGAGGCCAGTGGGAGCCACCATATCATCTAGTCTGACCTGCATGTCTAATCCAAGTCAATTCACCTTACAGGTTACAGGTGCTCGGTTCAGGGGTGGCACAGAATTTTAAGAATTCAGACCCCGTGGACATATGCAGGACTTCAGTCTCTGGGACCATTAACCCAATTCAAATCCCTTTTATCAAGTTATTTAAAATCTAGAGGCCATTAAGAAGAGCAATAATTATATTTAAAAACCACTCATGCTTAAATTAAACTGGTTTTATTTTGTGGTCACTCAACTTGCATCACACCAAAAAGTCAAGTTTTTGTCACATCCCAAAATAATGAAGCACCTCAAACAAATTAAACTGATAGGAAACAATTTTTTTTTTCTAATAAGTGTGGCATTACCAAGATATGAAACAAAAATGATAACTACCCCAAATTATTCTTATTCATGCCTGCAAGAAGCTATGGAAAAGTTAGGTTCAAGTTTATAGTTTTACTGCACCCACATATTTCTAATGGCTAGGAGAGACTCAGGCAGCAAACCAATCTCCTGTCACATAGCTGGGGCAGTGGCTCCTGAGCTTTTCAAGTAGATATCCATGTATTTAAACAGAAAGTATTTGCAGTCTCCTATTTTTATAATTATGTCAGTAACCATTTAGGGTGTGCCGAGAAATAGTTGGAGAATGGAAAGGTATGGAACCGAGTAGGAGAATGAGGTTCTTTGCTTGTAGACTGGTAACATTTTTCAGTGCTTCTACCCCATTCCCATTTGGATTTCACAATCCCAGGGGCAGAGATCAAAACCACTGGCTGAGAAACACTAGCGTGGAAGCATTACAGGTGCAGTGTCCTTGCAAGCCAGGAGACAACCACAGAAATTAAACCTGTCAAGTTTTACGTTCTGTTTCCTCATTGCCCTAGATTTGTACCTAGAGTAATTTTAAAGAAATGTTTCTAGTTTAGATTTAAAAACCTATTTTTCCTTCTGATTTAAGAAGGAAACTTTGGAGACTGTTCTATAGATGTAATTAGTTTTGTTGAGCTGAAGTCACGTAGAAAGCAGCGTAGATTTGCACCTTATAGACTGAAGCAGTGATTCTCAATCAGGGTACTTTAAGATCCTTCGAAGGGTGGCACAGGGTGCCATGCAATGTTAGCCCATTATGTGTCAAAATATGGTTCCCAAGATAAACCCAGAGCTTTCAAATACAAATCCATAGGGTCCAAAATATTCAGACACATTTTGGGTTTAATTTTGTCTGTACTGCCATTTTCTGAGGAGGGCCTCGAGCTCATCTAGAGATGCAGAGCTCACTTTATCAAATACTGTGGAAGGACATGCACATTTGACTACAAAGGCAGCAGGGAGGGGGAGAAAGGGTAGTGCTGCGGGAAGCAAACAAGCAAAGACCCACAGGCAAAAGTGAATCCTGGTAATGGAATAAGAATCCAAAGTCATCATGTAAACCAAACCGTACTTAACACAGTCTAGTCTATGGATGATTTTATTCTGCAGTTGCCCGTTCAAACTGATTCACATACAAGTTTGGATAGATTATGTTTTCTTACCAAGACTAAAAGTTGCTATCAATATCTGTTCTATAATCCAAAGGTATCCCAGATCTATTTTATTTAAGGACAAACATATGCCTTCTAAAAGTACCAATTCAGTTTGCTTTTTTATATTATTCCAAACCCTCTAGGAATACATGTTTTAAAGCAAAATTTTCTTAGTAACCTTAGGATGGCATTACTTGCAAGGTATTTATACCACAGTTTTACAAAAGTAATGTTAGTCTTAACTCCTATGCTATGGTTTTGTATTTATTTCACATGGCATCTTGGAAACAATGGAGCAATCAACTTTGCTGAGACTGCATTCCATTACTAGTGTTGGCAATGATTATTATCCTAGCAGGGTTGAGGGACTGT